TATATATATATATATATATATATATATGTATATATAAAGATATAAATATACGGGGTGGCCCAAAAGTGTAAGAACATCTCATAGAATGAGATGGGGTTATTTAATCTAAACTGTCATGATAATGATATCATATAAATACATCCGTAAATCAGTAAATGTATACAGTTAAATGTAATCATATGATATTGTAAGAGATTTAATCACTTTTTCCTGACCCCCTGTATATATATTTACATAAATCGCAATGATAGAAATAAACCCATTACAACTACTTTGCCTCCAACAAGTATTACAAAGAAAGTAAACGCATCAAAATACGGGAGATGCTATGTCAGACGTCCATATCGTACATAATGTCTTTGTGGAGCATTATATATGTTCTTGTGATGAGCATCCATTTAGGTAATTTGCATATTTTTATAAATAGCTTTTTAGTTTGTATAAATTCATTGTCATTTATTATTTTAAATACAATTTTGTAATTTCCTTTTATTTGGAAAGCAATTGAAAAATTTAAAAATTGACGCATTGGCGAAAATCACACACAAAAAATATTCAAAACTCTTTACTCTCCCTGTCTATTGCGCCACATGGAGATAAGTGTGTGTTTTTGTTTGTTGGTCTTTTTTTTTGTTAATGATACTCTATTTGTATGTGTCTCGACCGTAAATAACCGTATTTTAAACAACATTTCCTCTCTACAAGTTTGTGGCTTTAGATGTGATGACTCACAATATCAAACTTTTGAGATCGATGACAGATGCTATATTTTCGTCAAGGCAAGGAAGAACAGGACGTCATCCAAGGTGAATTCCTAACTTCAAGTGTATACCTCACGTACATTCATCACGTGCATACATCACGTGAAAACATCACATGAATAAATCATGTGCATACATCACGTGCATACATCACGTGCATACATCACGTGCATACATCACGTGCATACATCACGTGCATACAACACGTTAATACATCATGTGCATACATCACGTGCATACATCACGTAAATGCATCACGTGCATACATCACGTGCATACATCACGTGCATACATCACGTGCATACATCACGTGCATACATCACGTGCATACATCACGTGCATACATCACGTGCATACATCACGTTAATACATCGCGTGCATACATCACGTGCATACATCACGTGCATACATCACGTGCATACATCACATAACGTTAATACATCACGTGCATACATCACATCCATACATCACGTGCATACATCACTTGCATACATCACACGTGCATACAACACGTGCATACATCACCTGCATACATCACGTGCATACATCACGTGCATACCTCACGTTAATACATCACGTGCATACATCACGTGCATACATCACGTGCATACATCACGTGCATACATCACATAACGTTAATACATCACGTGCATACATCACATGCATACATCACGTGCATACATCAAGTGCATACATCACGTGCATACATCACGTAAATACATCATGTTCATACATCACGTGCATACATCACGTGCATACATCCCATGCATACATCACGTGCATACATCCCATGCATACATCACGTGCATACATCACGTAAATACATCATGTTCATACATCACGTGCATACATCATGTGCATACATCACGTTCATACATCACGTGCATACATCAAGTGCATACATCACGTGCATACATCACGTAAATACATCATGTTCATACATCACGTGCATACATTTCAGGCTTACATCACATGCAAACATCACGTGCATACATCACGTGCATACATCACGTGCATACATCACTTGCATACATCACGTGTTCAATTGTTGGTAATGTCATTTTTTTTTAAGTCATTAAGGGGCATATACAATCACACACAAATAATAACCCGTTTACGATGGGACTCCATGATTTAGTCATCTGATAGTTTATTTAGTTTAAAACTGGCGCCGATGGGGGTCGTGGGTTGTGCTGAAACTGATATAAAATTAAAACAGTGATTCGAGTAGACCCAACAGGAATTCATTGCATCATAATTCAGTTCTCGTGAAAAAATCTTATTGAATTACAAACTACATCTTCTTGATTAAAGAATATTTTATGGTGAACTCAAGTAGTACAGGAGGTTTGCAAAGGGGGGGGGGGGGGGAAAAAGAAAGGTTTCAAAAACACAAAAAAGCATTTTTCTACTCCCCCCCCCCCCTGACACACACAGAAAGAGTTATCTCACGATTAGAGTTTAAATCTTCTAATCTGTAGAGTAGCTATCATCGCCCATGAATATGAAACCAACTGTCTACTTGCCAACAGCGGTACATGTTTAGCTTGTAGTTACCTGATGTCATAGAGAACTTCAGAAAACGTTGAGCTTATCTAGTGATCTCTTCCTCTTGGCTGGCTTGACAGATCGTTCACTAAGCGTAGCCCACCCATTTACATATCCCGATGCTAGCTCTGTTAAATATGTAGCTTATGAGTAAGTTTAAATCGTAATTTTAAGCTTTTGTGTGTGGGTGTATGTTCCCAAGGAATGGTGCAATGCTAGAGGGCTACACCTGCCTAGAATTGTCAGCCTGGAATCTATTTCAAGCGCTATTTCGGCAGATACATTTTTTAAAGCCAACATCAAAGGTAGGCGTTGTTGTAGTTAATGTCTTTGAGCTTATTGTTGATGTTAATGTTATTGTTTGTTGCAGTTGCTGCTGTTATTGCTGCTGTTATTGCTGCTGTTATTGCTGCTGTTATTGCTGCTGTTATTGCTGCTGTTATTGCTGCTGTTATTGCTGCTGTTATTGCTGCTGTTATTGCTGCTGTTATTGCTGCTGTTATTGCTGCTTGGTTTTTTTTTTGTTGTTGCAAATGTTGTTGTTGTTGTTATTGCTATTATTAATGTTATTGTTAATGTTGTTAATGTTGTTGTTGTTGTTCTTGATGATGTTGCTGCTGCTGGTGTTGTTGTTATTTTTTTTTTTGTTTTTTTTTTATTGTTGTTGTTGTTTTCATTGATGATTTGACAGGGGTTTCAATGAAATACAAATAACAGTTTTCATATGTAGCGTCATGTCTGTAGCATCAATAAAGGCTTTTATAGTAAAACTAGATAGTTTCATTTATTTTTTTAAATATATAAATTATTTCAGTGAGACAAATAAGATAAATTCTCAGAAAGCGTGCAAAATGAGATTCATGAATAATTTTTCCACTTAAAAAATTATCCTATCTATTAATATATCTAAAATGGCTCTAAGTTATTAATTATTTTATAATACAAAAATTATCCATCTTCCCGGGAATGTTAAGCTTTTTAATCCTTTCATAATTACTAATAAATAATAACACGTAATATGCATCTACTGTGTACTTATTAATGAAGAAAGGTCGAAGCTCTGGCTCGGGGCGGTGTATCGACGCTCAGTGGACCGGTTCGTATGGGACGACAGCAACGAAGTGGTCAGTGCCGACGTAGTCAGTGGGGAACAGACGTCTCACCGGCGGGGCAACTGTGTCTACCTGACCGGTTCTTTCAAAACAGTCACCGTGGCTTGTGATTGGCTCTTGGGTTCTCAGATGTTATGCATGGCAATCCGTGAGTATTGTAACTTCACTTGTTGTACCTTATTTTATTGAATCCCTTACGACCGAAGAATAGCACGTAAAATAGTGTTCAGGAACCATTTCTAATGTATATATATAAATATATATTATCGTCAATCTTGTACTGGGCTATGGTAAAAACTCTTTTAGTAATGCATATTAATATCGGTAACTTGCGCAGCTCTGATAAATTTCCTTTAATAATTTCAGCAGTCTAGCTGTATTATTTTCAATGAATCCACTTGCCCAATGCAAATTGTTAATGTTAGACATTAGACTTAACAAAAAGTGGTCTGGAAAAACAACTGTGTGTGTGTGTTTGTGTTTTTGTGTTTTGTGTGTGTGTGTGTGTGTTTGTGTGTTTGTGTTAATGTCATATTTGTGGACGCCAAAACATGTTTCACTCAAACGATGACTGGCTTCCAGGGACACATTGGTTTGGTCCAAATTTAAACTACAGGTGCAACTGCAGAGTGGGGGCATGTTTGCATGATGGCATCTGCCCAGAGGCTGGGGGCAAGTGCTCGCTAGGCTGGTTTGGTCCCGGATGTCAGTTTCGTGAGTCTTCCTTTACTTCACATTTTAAATCCATTATCTATCAGCAAACATCAATGGCACCTTCTCCCCTGGCATTCAATTTTTTTTAATCTTAAGTCGCTGAAGGCGCGTCTTCATAATTTTGTATATCAACTTATTCAAACAAAGTCTTTTGTTATCGCTTTCAGTTGTCCCCCATTCACCTTCAAATTATAACACTTCTGCTATTTTCGGTAACTTATTTCACTAAATGCTCTTGTTCCATGGTGCCCCATGACTCTTCATCAATGCACACATCTGGCTTTTGTAACATTACGAGTGAGGCTTATTTCTGTTCCTCTAAGGTGATTTACTTCTAGATGTGGACAACAATCTGACAGATTTTTCTGACAAAACCTGCTTAGAGAACACCAACAGCCCACAGATGTTCGTGTTATTGTATCCGTTTTATTTGACATGGATTCGCATTGTAACACTAAACGCAGGTGACTAAAATGCTTGTCAGTCATACAATAACGGGAAGGCAGTATAATATAATATACATATAGTTAACATCATTAAGTTATTATAAGATATTTAGGTGTCTACTCTATAGATATCAAAGTCCAATATAACTAAAATATTGTATTTTTATTACTTGTCATTTCATTGTGCAATGGGTTTTTGACATGAACATGCAACCCACTATTTCTGTAAACGAACAATTTCTGATCTAAATGACCTTCCTCGCCAGCTCCAACAGCTGGTTACTTCATTAGAAAACACATTCAAATTTTTTTTGCATTTGTGTTGTTAAGACTTACAACAAGAGTAATTCGTTGCCCTTGCAAAAAAAGGAAAAGTTAATCAATCACCAATGTCACTTTGTCTTAAAATTAATTTCTTGTTGTAATTTTTTAAAATAAATATGTGAAGTGCTTCATGTATTCCCGTCTGATCATGGAATTTAAATTATTGATTTATTTTCTTATTTTATTTTTCCCAGGTGAATTTAATGATTTTGTTGTAAATGTTTTTTCGAATAACCAAGAAATTTCGAGTGTCCAAACCAAATTTATCGTCATCAACAATAGAACGGTCGACATTTACTGCTCCACGGCCGCCAACATTGTCTCTTCGTTTTCCTTGAATTTTAAGGACAATAGAACGCTCTGCTCCGTTCACATATTTGGGGGTAAGTTTGTTGTAACAAAAAAAGTAAACAAGGAGATTATATTATTAAGGCATTCTTTATCATTACATACAAAATATTTTCTTCACCATATGTTTAAAGGGGGGTCAGTTGCAGTTTTGCCCATCATACAACTAAGTTCGATTACTTAAACATAAAAAGCAAATTTTATGAAAGAGATAGAAATTTGTAATGCGTTAGCAAGTATCGCAAAGTTTAAAAGCATGTTTGCACTTACTTGGGTTTGAACCTACTAAGGTTTACAAATACTTGGGCTAGCACTTAATTGGGTTTGCACTTACTTCGGTTTGCACTTACTTGGCTTTGCACTTACAGAGGTTTTCACTTATTTGGGTTTGCAATCACCATGATTAGCACTTACTTGGGTTTATACTTAATTGTGTTTGCACTTACTTGGGTTTTCACTTACTTTGGTTTACATTTACTTGGCTTTGCACCGACTTGGATTTGCGTTTACTTGGTTTCGCACTAACTTGGAGTAATGGTTTCTGCCCAAACCACGTGATCAGAATTATTGTTTAGGGCAACACCTCAGTGTTTGCGTGATCTTATTCCTTGGCTTCTAATTGGCCTGCGCAGCCGATCAAAGCCCACAGCTAACTAAGCCCGCAGACTGCCGTCTCTGGTGGTCGCATTTGAACCCGCTAGCTACCCGGGGCTACCATGGGACAATCGACCGAAACCACAGTAGAACGTCGATTATCCTAAAATGTCAGGGACGTGTCATTCGTTTAACCGAAAAGTGCCATGGGAATGTTGTGTTAACGAAGTCACTGCAAAGCTCCAATAATTTCTTACTTAGTACACGCGTGTGCTTTGTTTTACAGGCATATTCTATTTTGAATTGGTTTAAAACGTAATGATGCATTTATAGTGCGACAAGGGTCGACATTGTTTCCGCTGTTTGTGCGCCAATGCTCCGTGCCAACACGCACTGGATGCGATACACAATGTTTTAAGAGGACAGTACTAGTTCGGATAACTGTCGTTTCGAATACAGACGCGTTCTTTTGAGTACATTGAAATCAGCTTAAACAATCACCACGACTGTGTCGCACTAAGAGGAATGATGATATTTATATGTGAGAGGAATGATGATATTCATTATGTGATGCACAGGTCAAAACGTCGCCCCTAAGGACTCCACCAACATGTCGTCGGCAGACGGGGGATATCAAGCTGCATTTGGTGTTGACGGGGAGATGAGTCTGCTATCCCACAGTGCAACAACATCCGGTGTTAAAGAGTTGCCCCATGCGTGGAGCGTTCATTTTTCAACACGGAAAATTGTTTATGAAATTGTCGTCATTTTACCGGCACGTATGTAATATTGTAGGATTCTGATAGTATGTTGAAATAATATGTGGTAGAAATTAGAAGGGAACAAAAAGGGGGGCTTTATTTTACTTACAGCTTGTAAACCTAAAATATAAAGATTTTTTTTTATCTAGAAATGTAATAATTTTCATTAATTTTTAAGAACAAGTGGTTGATTGAGGCAAGTTAACAAACGACCATAGAAATGTAAATAGTCTTTACATTAATTACATTCAACCCATTTATGTCATAGAAATTTACTATAATATATATATTTTTTTTTCAATTAGACTTTTTAAATTTTATTTTAAGATTAATTTTTATTTAAAAACAAAATAATTTTATTTAGCCATTTTGCGTTTAAATGAAATACTTTTTTTACCATTATTGATAACAAATTTCCCATTAATTTGCAGGCTATGATATTTCATTGATGAATATTGACTTCAGTGTAGAACTTATATCCTCGTCGAATACAACACTTTTAAACCAATCTTCTCCGCTTAGACGCCGGATGCACCGGATCTTTAGATGGGTGTATCCACCCGGAACATTTGAAAATGTTCAAACTGTGACTATTCGTCTGAGCACATCAAATAGTACTTTGAAAAGCTTGGACTTTCTAGAGGTCGAAATATTTGGTGGTAAGCTTTGGCTTTGTTCATATCAAATGTGCTCATAGCATTGTAGACTCTCAAACTTATAAAGGTGACGCTCCACAAAATGTAACAAAGATTGGTGGAACATTGATTAAAGGAACATTGATTGAAATATGTTAATTATAATTTAAGTTGAATGCTTTATGAACGCTCGATTAAATAATTATTTTTTTTTTTAATTTTTGCTAATCTAGCATGTGGACCGCCATTTTATGGCATGTATTGTAACAAAATTTGTAACAAAGAGCATTCATTTTGTCACTACAATGGAGAGAGCCTTGCGTTCTTCTATGGAAATTACTCTATAAAACGTGAGCAAATTTTAATTGACATGTTAATTTTTTTTTATTTTTTTTTTATTTTTTTAAGAATATTGTCTTTGGTACCGGTTTCGCTTTGTGTTATCTGCAATGACAATGTTTAGCTCCTCCATAATGACATAGCCCCCGTTTATTAATTATTATAGTTTGCTTTTTTTTTATAAACTAATTTTGCCGGGCACTTTAAGGTTATACAGCATAATTACATAAGAAAGGGGCCAAGAAACATCAATCGCAAGACTATCAGAAGCCTCTTTACAATAAATGTATTGATAGTTTCTCTAGAAGTAGCCCAGTGAAATATCAGAGCCCAAAACCCATAGTCTTTTGAAAAAGCGTTGTTTTCTTTGGGAGGAGCTCCAATGTAATTCAAAATACGTCGGCTGCTGATGAGTCAGATTGTTACCGGAAATTTGATCGAAAGAAATTTCGTCGACGGTAAATTGATCGACGGTAATTTGATCGACCGGAAATAAGGTCGAATCATTTTTTTCAGTTCACACGTTAAGATTTTCGTCAAATTTCTTTTTGAACGCACTATACTATATAGTAAAACAAAATAATGCGCTCAAAAAGACATTTGAAGCAAAATTTAAACGTAAAAACGGAAAAAAAGATTCGACCATATTTACGTTCGATCAAATTACCGTCGATCAATTTACCGTCGACGAAATTTCTTGCGATCAAATTTCCGGATACGGAGTCGAGATATCAACAGTAAACTTTATTAGCATTAAACGGGAGCTCCTCTTAAGATAAAAACGAGTTACCTATCCACCAGAATCTATGCAAATTTGTTGTCTTTTGAAAAATTGCATTAATTTTTACAAGTATTATTTTAAAATTGTACTTCAAGGCGATAGCTCGATTGATCAGGGTTACTTTGGTTATCCCAATGCGTTTGATACACTTTTGTGCACATTGCCATGGTGGTTTCATGAACACTCAGCTGCTCAAACTCCGATGCAAAGTTTCCTTATGTTCAATCCTCGCCGTTATTGATGAATGCAGTTGTGCACAAAACACAATGTCAATTTCCAACACATTCGCGAAATATATCTTTTTTTTTTAATCAACCCAAGTTTTGGTTTAAAAATAGATTTTAAAACCAACAAAAAAAGCGTAATCTGGCACACACGTCTGCAAATAGCCGTTACAAAGGGAGTCACTGGTTTGTACCAGGTCGGCTAGATGAAACCGTTCAATCATATTGAATTGAAGAAAAAAAAAAGAAAAAGCAAAAACATTTTATTTTAATATGTAATATTTCGCGTCACCCCTGTGATAAAGTCACGACTCCCCTTAGTGCCATGGAGTACACTTTGGCGTTACTGGCTCTCATATTAAACAAGATTTTGCTCTTTTTAAAAAAATTAGAAATAATGCTCATTAACAGCTAAACGAGTGAAGCATATGTAGGCTTTACCAACAAGATTGCTTCAGCAATGCGGTTGCAATAAGTTTGAACTATGGCACGAAAGCACATTACATTCATAGCATTTAAGGCTGGTGCCAAAATACAGCGACGCTAAACTTACCTGTACGTTGTGATTTTGAAAACAAATCTTCAATAACATGATTTCAAAACTTGCCGCGATTTTGTCATTTACTGAAATTTATCGTACATCTTTTTTCATCAGATAAACGTCAGAACGTTTATGAAAAAGTAGCTGAAAGACCAGATGAAAGGACGGGTCAAGGCAGATTGAGATCAAGATATGTTCTACGCCAAGCACCCGACGGTGGTGACAGACCGGGGACCCAGCGACCAGGCAGCGCTCAGGCCCAAGGCCTTGGCGACGGTGAGACCGAGACACCAGATGAGGAGTCAGATATAACCAGCCATGGGCCAGACTCGATCACCGACCTCACCAACGACACCACCGCTGCCACACCTGGAGTGTACGGGTCCGCTATCACGACGGTCATCCTGGTGATCATTGTGGTGGACCTGGTGGTGGTGCCTTTCTGTTGCGTGTATTGCTGGTGCCGTGGACAGAACAAG